TGACCGGGTCTTGTTGACCTAGGCCAGGCTTCTGTCTTCAGGAAGAGAAGTGACGTCATAGGAGGGCTTCTGGATTGATGACGTCACAGAGGGTCCTGGATTATGTGAGGTGAATTACGTATACTGACTGTACTCAGTCGCCACACATGGTGGTATGATGGCCAAACATGTTGATGACCACACATGTTGGTGGCCAGGCCACACATATTGGTTACACATGATGGCCACACAAGTTGAGGACCACTTATGTTGGTGGCCCCACATGTTTGTGGCTAAATCATTATGTAAACACACAAGGTGACCTGATGTCTACTCAATATTGTCATCAGGTCAGAGGTCAAATAATACGACATAGTTATATTTCCCTACTTAGGATTCATGATCAATTTAGACAATTCTTCAAACAGATGTTACTTATAACTCTTGATTATAGAAGGGGGATTATTAATAATTATAGATAGGGGCTTAATAATTAGTGTTAGTTTGTTACAGGTCAAAGGTCGTGTATAATTAGTGAGGTTGTGTTTAATTGGTTCCTGAAAATAGATAATTGTGTGTGTGTGTATATATATATATATATATATATATATATATATATATATATATATATATATATATATATATATATATATATATATATATATTTATTTATTTATTTATTTATTTATTTATTCATTACAAATATAAACCAACTGAAGACTAATATATATTTTCTCAAGTTTTTTTTGTAACATTTAATACCGTAAAAAAAATATTCTCGTATTTCTGGTCATTTGTCGAGGATTAATCGTATCTCAGGTTATGGGGTCAAAAAAATTATCATACATTCTGAATTTTAAAAGATAAATTCCCATGTCCTGCACTACGGAATACCTGAACTCTCGCCAATTCCGCAAAAATTCCCTAATTGGCGAACTGGAGCATGAAATATATGGTAATTAGGAAGTTAGAATGTCGATGTTGGTCCCTCCCTGGGCACAGCCAACGTCTCTGGCACTCCTGGTAGTTAATGTGGCACTGTGTTGTGTGTGTGTGTATTCATGTCTGTGTTTTATCGTTTGTGTATGTTTCTTGACGTGTGTTTGTTCTTTTATATGTATGTGTACGTGTATGTGTGTTGTGTACGAGTTTAATTCTTGTGTAAATCCTTAGATATGTGTACATGTGTGTTTTAGAGAGAGAGAGAGAGAGAGAAAGAGAGAGGTGTATTGACGTTGGTTGAGGAGGCTGGGTGAGGAGCTCTTCTCTCTCTCTCTCTCTCTCACTAAACCACACCCACACCCACACACAACCAGCACCACTAAAACACCTGGCCGCTTCCACACCCACACACGCCCACACCTAAGCCCACACACACACACACACAAACACACACACATACATCATACTAGTTTTTATTCGTGTTTTTCTATGTTTTATCTCTTCTGATTTTTATTGTTTTTTTTCATACATTCAGTTATCAAAATTGTGTCCTATTTCACTATTTATCAAAGATTTCTCTCATTTTCTGTTTATTTCATTCAAGTTTTATTGTTTTGTATCGATTTTCATATATTTTATTTGTTTCGGATTTTGTTCCATTGTTTGTTTTACATTAATCTACGCTTTCGCTAACATATATTTTGTTTCTTTTCTTTGCAGGTGAGTCCGTGTGTGTGTGTGTGTGTGTGTGTGTGTGTGTGTGTGTGGTGAGGGAGGCTGATGCTCTACACCAGCTTGTTGCGGTTTTGTAAGTGTTCCTGAAGTGCTTTTCTTCATCAGTATTTTCTTGTAAGTGCTCCTTAAGTGCTTCCCTCCAACATGCTCCTTGCAAGTGCTCCTTAAGTGCCTCCCTCCAACATGTTCCCTGCAAGTGATCCTTAAGTGCTTCCCTCCAACATGTTCCCTGCAAGTGCTCCTTAAGTGCTTCCTTCCAACATGTTCCCTGCAAGTGCTCCTTAAGTGCTTCCCTCCAACATGCTCCTTGCAAGTGCTCCTTAAGTGCCTCCCTCCAACATGTTCCCTGCAAGTGATCCTTAAGTGCTTCCCTCCAACATGTTCCCTGCAAGTGCTCCTTAAGTGCTTCCTTCCAACATGTTCCCTGCAAGTGCTCCTTAAGTGCTTCCCTCCAACAATATAACACTTTATTCTGTCTTTGTAGTCTTGTTCAAAACTTTACTTAGAATTTGATTTGTTTTAATGTTTATTTTTATGTATGTTATATAAATTGTGTTTGGTGCGTTAAGTAAACATTTCAGAGGCATAGTGTTAACAAGGAAACATTTTACAAGTGTTTAAGCTGTAAATACAGTATGTTGTGTTGATGGGCGTTTGTGTATGGGCTACCGTGTGAGCCTTGGTGGGCGGGTGGGCGTACGTGGAATGGTTTGTAAGCGAGTCTGATTGGGTGTTAGTGTGTGGGTGCGTGTATTGATGTGTGGGTGGGTAGGTAAGTGTGTGGATGGACGCAGGTGGGTGTGTGGGTGGGCATTGATGTGTGGGTGTGGGCGGGTATGGGTGTATTGCAATAGTGATTTCAACTCTGCAACACTCATTAATTATTGCTTTTGTATTGAAATTATAATATATATCTGTTGAAGAATATTAGAGGCTTTGTGTATTGTTATATGATAGCTATACAGTGTAACACCTTATTTGTCTTGCTATATTTTGCTGCCTATATTTACTTTGTGGTTTAAGAAGATATTGTATATATTTTTGCTTACAGTTGCTTATTGTATATCTGAAGACTTATATTGCCTTAGTATTTTGTAGATGAATTAAATATTTCTTTTTTATTTAATACATTTGTCTGCATTCCAATATTATTTTATTTTTTATATTCCAGTTGTGTTTTATTATTTATATTTAAGAGTATTGACGTTACTGAATTTTACTTACTTGCAACATATTGACAATTATTATCTGGCTTGCAGTACCCAAATCCCTTATACAATACTGTATTTTGTTTAGCTTGTTTTTGTAATTATATTTGGCTGTATTATTTTTTAAGAGATATATAATGTATGTGAGTTTACTTTTATATTTTATTGATGTATTAGTTTGCAATATTCAGGTTTGGTTCACAATATATCAATTTTATTTACTGTATTTGTGAGGCGTTATTGTATTGTATTGTTGTTGTTGTTGTTTTAAGGGATTCTTCTTCTATTTGTGAAGAGCTACGGAGTTCCAACTTATCTGGCAAAGAATTAGGCCTATTGTCATTGGACTGGGGTAGGCCTAGTGATAACAGCCGACTCTACCTGTAGGGCCAGAGAGGTGACATATGAAGGAGGAGCCACACACCTGTTTGTTTGCATTTTAATGTTTGATTATTTTACCTGTTTGTTAATTTGTTTGTTGTTTTATATAAATTGTTTGTAGGTTAGGTTAGGCTTTTGGTGTCTGGGGTAGCGACGTTAGTTCAGTATGTCATCCTCTCTGTCACCAATCTGTGTGTGTGTGTGTGTGTGTGTGTGTGTGTGTGTGTGTGTGTGTGTGTCCACTTTAGGAGCTGCCCACAAAGATCTACAGTAACACACACACACACACACACACATTGTTCACTTGCAAATATTGATTCTTTCTTTTATCTTTCTTTTTCATCTGACAGACCCTCGATATAACGGACTTCTCTCTCCATATAGTCCGTTATATAGAGGTTTGGCAGTTTTACTAATTACCCCTTGCAAGAAAGAGGAGAGGAGGAGTATAGGAAGGGGGGTGAGGAAGGGAAGGGGTGGTAGGGGAAGGGATGAGGAGGGGAAGGAAGGAGTAGGGGAAGGGAAGGAGGAGAAGGAAGAGGAGAGTAGGGAAAGGAAAGGGCGGGGAAGGAAGGTGGGGAGTAAGGAAGGAGGGGGATGGGGAAGGAGAGGAGTAGGGGAAGAGGATTCGCTGTAAACTTGAAACACATAAGTAATGGAGCGGCTCAGTGATCCCTATTGTTGTGTGTGTGATGTAAGTCACCTGGTGGGAACTACAGTAATTCGTCAGTCTTTGAGATCCAGTCAGGATGAGAAGGGGGGAGAGGAGGGAGAGATTTTCGTTTCTGGGTGAGATTTCGACAATCCTTCCACCACCTCCACCACCACCTCAACTACCACCTCCACCACCTCAACTACCACCTCCACCACCACTACCACCTCCTCCACCTCCACCTCCTCCACCACCACTAATAAGTCTTCACCAAGCACTGTGACAGCTTTCAGCCTTCCCAACACTCTCTCTCTCTCTCTCTCTCTCTCTCTCTCTCTCTCTCTCTCTCTCTCTCTCTCTCTCTCCTTTTTTCTTTTTCTATCTTTCTCAAACAAAATTAAACCCCTCTCACCTCCCTTCATCTCCCTACCCTCACCCCCTCCCTTCCTTCCTTATCCTCCCTTCTTCCCTTACCCCTTCCTTATCCTCCTTTCTTCCCTCACCCCCTCCCCCTCCTCCTTCTCTATTTTGTCTTTTTCTACTCGTTTTCTTGTTTAATATATTTTCTGATGTTTAAGTAATTTATTTGTCTTGTTTTGTCTGTCTGCTTGTCTCTCTTTCTGTCCGTCTGTTTCTCTGTTTCTTTCTGTCTGTTTGTCTCTTTTTCTTTCTGTCTGTCTCTCCGTCTCTCTTATTTAACCTTTGTGTGAGTGACCTAACCTAGTATTACGAGGGCCACTAGCTGGCGTCATTGTGACCGAGAACTAATCACTGACTGTCTTACCTGCAAACGGTGGAGACCCTCAGCTTGGATTAATGAAGTGTGGCTGTCCGCAGAGTAACACACACACACACACAAACAAACAAACCGTGCATACATACATACATACATACATACGTACATACATACATCCATCGTTTACAAAATGGCCGACAGTGACCATGTTGCGCTAGTGGTGGGATAATCTTTATATTTATATTCCGTGTGTGTGTGTGTGTGTGTGTGTGTGTGTGTGTGTGTGTGTGTGTGTGTGTGTGTGTGTGTGTGTGTGTGTGTGTGTGTGTGTGTTGTTTCATGTCCTTACTGATGTTGTTCTCTACAGGATAACGTGAGCGTGTGGACAGTCCTAAAGGATGGCTGAGGAACAAGACACAAGGAGCCATCACCATCATCCTCCTCCTCCCGCCACCACTACGCCACACTGGCCATGCCAAGCTCTCTACACGGCACTCTGAACGCTCTCAATGCAATACCGTGAACGTTGCTGTACGCCCACGCTGACGTAGCTTCGCCTCTGCAATTACTACTACTACTACTACTACTACTACTACTACTACTACTACTACTACTACTACTACTACTACTACTGCTACTACTACGACTACTTCTGCGTCTGTGATCAAGATAAGACTATAAAGACTTGACGTTGTTTGGTGGTGAGGAGGATCTTGTTGAGGGAGAAAAGAGGAGTGAAGGAGAGGTCAGAGGAGGAGAAGGAGGTGGAGGAAGGAAGGAAAGAGGTCAGATAGGCCGGCACGTGTGACAAGGAGAAGGAGGATCATGTGTGTGTAGGAGACAGTGAGTAATGTCTCCTGCACCTCCGCCCCGCACCACTCTAGTAACCTCCCCTCGCCCCACCATCCTTCATTATTGCTCACACTCTGGCTTGACCTCTGGTGATTACTTGCTACCTCAGGGAAATAATTCTTTCCCGTTATAGTGTATATGGTGTGTGTGATGGTGCGGCTGTATAGTGTCGGTGTTGAAGTTGCCCCGCGCGCCGCCTCCTCCTGGTCCACACCACTCCATAAAATAAGCCAGAAATGTCAATGAAGACAAGATTTCTCTCCGCTAGATCAACAGAGCCGAAGGAGAGAGAGACATTACTAGGCGTGTGTGTGGTGAGCGGCGGGGTGATCTTGTCGCCGGGGGCCGCGTCTGTCACCCACCAGTCGAGATAACAGTGATCGACAATGTTATTACCTTGTAAACTGTGTGTGAGAACTGTGAGTGTGGTGTGGAGGGGATAAAGCGGCGCCTCAACATGTGACTTATAAATGCGTCGCTCCGCTCACTCTCTCCATCACCTCTCACTCTCCTCCAAGACTCACTCGTTCGGGGACACTCTGTCGGGGTCTTCACACACACTCGTTCGGGGACGCTCTGTCGGGTCTCCTCTTACCGCTGTCTTGGATCTCTATTGTCGTCGTCGTTGTTGTAGATCACAATAAACAAAGTGTCGTGGTGTTTGAGGGACGACGATCTTGTGCCACAGGTTCCTGATGCCCACACCACAACCACAGTCATCCATCACCACTACCATCATCACCACCACCATCAACTCCTCCTCCACCACCATCTCCAACACCTCCACCACCACCAGTTCGCCTTACACTCACACACGCCCCGGGCCGCCTCCCTCACTACTGTGTATGGTGGGTGAGTGACTCCTGCTGGCAATATGGTAGGCGCTGCAGGGTTGGACGGCAGCCTGCTGGGGGGAGCCGTAATCGGCGAGGACACAGTCGAGGACGAGGTGGAACTTGGCTCCATCCCCTTGCTGGAGACGCCCCCGGGAGAGCAGCCGCCGCCATCACCTCGTCTCCTAGGCTACGGTGGGGGTTACGGCGGGTACGGGAGCAGCAGTGGCAGCTACGGTGGGTACGGCACTGGTTATCCTCCTTACGGTGGCGGCGGCGGGGAGCTGGTGATGATGGCGGGCGGCACACACGTGGGCATGGAGAGCCTCGCCCAGGCCGCCGTCATCCTCGTCATCGGCGTCGCCATCATCATCTCCAACATCATCATCCTGGCCACCTTCATCACCATGCCAGGTACTACACCTTCACCACCACTACACCGCTACTACTATACTACCACTGCATCTACACCACTACACCACCACTACTACACCACTAGTTCACTACACCTTCACCATCTGGGCAAAAATCTAACACTAGTCACCTGCTGTGAGTCAGGTGTCTGTTGTGTATTTCTCACCTCACCTAGAGTAGACCAACTCCCTCCCGTGTTCACTAGCTCTCAAAAGTTTCTATTTACCTTTCTCATCTGGTCTAGGTCACGTGTCTCTGTGTAGCGTTTCTCACCACCTTCTAAAATAGTATTGAACATTTATCCCCATGTGCCTACAAGAGAGCTCAGGCTCTCAACTGGCTCAGCCATGTTAATATGATTCTTAATCGACTCTGTATCTGTGTCCTTCTGGCTAAATGAACTGTTTCAATATCAATATGTCTTATGTATTTCCCAAGGCCCCCAGAGGACATAGTTGACTCACTTCCATTGCCCCATGTCTTACCAGTTCTTAAAAGATATAACTTGACTCATTACCATTTCAGTAGTCCCTGAAATCCTGAATATATACTCCCATGTCTTACCTATGTCCCAAGGCTCAATTTCATCTCCAAAGGCCCCAGATATTCACTCCCATCTCTTACCTGTGTCCATGGGCCCCTCAGAGGACACACCTGACCGTCTACCATCTCCGCAGGTCCCAAAGATGTGATCATGTACTACCTGATGTCGCTGGGTGTGTCAGACCTGGTGGCGGGGGTGGTAGTAGTGCCGCTGAGCGTGTACCCGGCCTTGGTGCAGCGCTGGGTGTACGGTGACGCCGTGTGTGGCCTCGCCGGCTACCTCGAGACCACGGTATGGTTCGCCCAACTCTGTACCTTCATGTGGATCAGCGTCGACAGATACCTGGCCATACGCAAGCCGCTCAGGTGAGGTCTTGCTGCTGGAGGAAGCTTTCTGAGATTAATCCTTTGAGTTCTACTGTAGAGGGTTAAAGCGTAGTCCTCAAAGGTTAAACCATCGTCATCAAACGGTTAAACCATCGTCCTCAAAGGGTTAAATCATCGTCATCAAAGGGTTAAAACATAATCCTCAAAAGGTTAAACCATCGTCCTCAAAGAGTTAAATCATCGTCCTCAAAGGGTTAAATCATCGTCATCAAAGGGTTAAAACATAATCCTCAAAGGGTTAAATCATCGTCATCAAAGGTTAAACCATCGTCATCAAAGGGTTAAATCATCGTCATCAAAGGGTTAAAACATAATCCTTAAAGGGTTAAACCATCGTCCTCAAAGGGTTAAATCATCGTCATCAAAGGGTTAAAACATAGTTCTCAAAGGGTTAAACCATCGTCCTCAACGGGTTAAACCACCGTCCTCAAAGGGTTAAACCATCGTCCTCAAAGGGTTAAACTACCGTCCTCAAAGGGTTAAACCACCGTCCTCAAAGGGCTAAACCATCGACCTCAAAGGGTTAAAACATCGTCCTCAAAGGGTTAAATCATCGTCCTCAAAGAGTTACACCACCTCCTCAAAGGGTTCATCGTCCCACAAAAGGGTTAAGGTCCTCACCATAGTCCTCAAAGTTTACCACCGTCCTCAAAGGTTAAACCATCGTCCCTCAAAGGGTTAAACCATAGTCCTCAAAGGGGCTACACCATCGTCCTCAAAGGGTTAAACCATCGTCCTCAAAGGGTTAAAACATCGTCCTCAAAGGGTTAAACCATCGTTCTCAAAGGGTTAAACCATCGTCCTCAAAGGGTTAAACCATCGTCCTCAAAGGGTTAAACCATCGTCCTCAAAGGGTTAAGTTTCCCTTTCAGATCACCAGATGGTCCTTAAATAAACAGGCAGACTGACAGATTGGCAGAAAAACAAAAATATACAGACAGATGGATAGAAAGACAGATAGACAGACAAACTGAAAGACATATAGACAGGCAGAGAGAAAGACATATAGACAGGCAGACAGAAAGACAGATAGACAGGCAGACAGATAAATAAGTGGACAGAAAGACAGCTAAACAGACAGACATCTTAGTTATATCCGATTATATGTTGGGTGAAAAGTGTAGGCGTGGTGAGGGGGAGGGCGGGTGAAGCCTTACAGTGTAGACGTACTCACCAACACCTTACTCATACACTTGAATTGGTGACTCGCGTAACATTACTCATTGATTAAACACACGTGTCTCCCTGACTAACCCTACCATGCCTGTATTAATTCTACTACTACTAATGATAATGTAGTAATAATTATACTGATGATAATAATTAGGATAATAACAATAATAATAATAATAATAATAATAATAATAATAATAATAATGTAATAATATTAATAATAATAATATTAATAATAATAATAACAACAATAAAATTGATAATACTAACAATAATAATAATAATAGTATTAATAATAACTATATTCAAGGAATGGCTTCCAGTAATTACTATACATTCACTAGGTTCTGGCAGTTCTCTTGGTTGATTATAGTGACAAACTCACGCCAAGGTACATACAGGTAACACTAATTAATGTTGCAGGTACGAGACTGTGCAGACTAAGACGCGGTGTCAGTGTTGGGTTGTGTTCACTTGGATCACGTCCATGATGCTCTGCTGCCCGCCACTCCTCGGCTTCAACAGCTCCTCGCACTGGGATGCTGAAGCGTACGTGTGCTGGCTAGACTGGGGCAGCATGATAGCCTACGCCATCACCCTCATTCCCATGGTGCTGGGACCCACGCTCATAACGCTCTTCTACACCTATGGTTACATCTTCAACACCATGCGCAGGCTCAAAACTTGCGTGGTGGGACAGGATAAGGAGTTCATCACGGCGCTCACCTCCAACCTGGCCAACCCCGACCACGCCATGTCTTTCGTGCTGGTGCTTGCTTTCTGGCTGTCGTGGGGGCCGTGTGTTGGGGTGAGGACGTACGAGTTCCTCAGTGGCCATCACATCGATGTGAGGTTCCTCCACTTTGCAGTGTTTTGGTTAGGGGCTCTTAACTCCTGTTGGAAATCCATTATTTACATTGCCATGAGCCCAAAGTTCCGACGTGGCCTCAAGCTGTTCTGCCTCTCGCTCTGCTGTCAGCGGAAGGCCCGGAATGCAGAACTCATCATGGATTACTAGATCAACCCAGGACTTCCGTGTATAACTTCTTCCATGTGTTCCCGTAACTTTAGCGAGTAATGATGCTTTCCTAGCGTGTGAAGTTGTGTTAGTGAGGAGCTTTAGAAGACAGATCGTGGGTGAATGCATTTAATGCTCAATCCATTAACTCGAGCACTGATGGACTGCTACTGGAGTAATGTTCAGTGCTAAGCTTTATCAAAAGAATATGATTTTTTGTACTTGACAATCTTAGGATGAATGTTAGTGTGTTTAGACTTCGCTGGTCCTTACCTGAGGTCCAACGGGATTACACATTGTTGTCTATTGTACTGTTCGTTCTTGTTGGGATGTTTGCGTGTGATAGACAGGCTTTAGGGTTTCATAAACATATCAGTGTCTCAGAACTAGCAGCGTCCAGGAATTACATTTATGTGCGAATGTCTATATTTTTAGATTTGTGAATGCCCTTTTTTATTATGCATTTCTTCTTTATTAATGACCTACCAGTGTACAGTACATTCTCTTACAACTTGTGAATGTCTTATGATTTAGATGTGATGGTATGTTTCTGTATAAGGGAAATGGCACATTTTTCTGTACCGATATGTAAGCATACTGTATGGCAAATATGTTATTGGGTCGTGTTAGAGATTCAGAGGTCACACCATACTGTTTGTGTGTGTGTGTGTTTGTTTGTAAAAAATATGTTTCTAGTATGTCTGGATGTAAGAATCTCTACAATGCTAAACTTGAACTCTTGATCTTAGACACTCATAAGTATCTTAAGTGTGTTGGTAAAGATAATCTGTTTCTCTTCAACACACGTGATTTGTGTTTATGTTCAGATATTCAAAGATAACATGATGCTGATTTGTTTAGGTAGATACACTATAAACATATACTTTATACACACATACACACACACAGCTTCTAAAAACAGTAAGGTGGCAGCTGTGAACCCATGACGTAACTCCTTGAACTTATAATGTTGGCTGTACATTTGTTATTGTGAGGGTCTAGTAGTGTATATCATATAATCGTGTTATGGTAGCCCTCTGATTGGTCAACTTCCACTAGTGTATCTCAGAGATGGTAAGTTTGGTGACTGATATATCAAAGATTTGGAACGTGATTCTTGAGAGCCAGCTGATTAGCCTTGACTTCGGTGACGCTTGTGTTGACTATCACCTCATTGCCGACAGTAGTAGCTGATCAATGAGTCAGTTTCCCGCACGGAGGCTGAACGAACTATCGATTCCAAAGGTTAATAAATCGTAGGAATGTGTAGGTCATTGAATACTAAAAGTTCATGAATTGTATGGACCTCTTTTAAGTTCTCATGAGCTAAAAGGTCATTAAATTTTAGGGATCTCTAAGATTTTTTAAGAACTTTGAGAACAGATCGAGATGTAATTGAGCAGGTAGAAGAAACTTGTACAGTACATAGAGACTTGCCTCACACACCCTTTGACGGCTACTCAGATCAGATTATTGAAAGAGAGAGAGAAAGAGACTGGCCTCGTAAATACCACTCACACTAGAGATGTGTTCCTTGGTGAGACAGTGACAACAACAATGATAAATATATTGACTTTTGTTTTTAATTCATCAAAATGACAGGTCTTAGTCACCCAAGACTACCGAAGTAAAACATGGTAATATTCTAGATCTCTTTAGTTTTTATCAGTTACTTCAAATGTATGTTGCAGTAATCACCGGTATTCACTAAATTAGGGTTTTTATTCAGCTATCATTGTGGGGAGTTAACTACTTTGCCAACTAGTGATGTCCGGTAACTTGGTGTTGAACAAAAGCGTCACCAAAGCGAACATAAATTTTGAGGTCATAATACACTACTTATTTTCTCAATTCTTCTCAGTCACACAGAAGGATTACTCAAGCATCTGTCTGTTCTCTAGCACCGAGCGCCAATCAGTCAGTCAGTCGGCCGAAGAAAACAATGACAAAAAGAGACAATAAATGACATGTTTATAAATTTTGAATATACCCCGACCCTCACACACACACACACCTCCCTCTATACCGTGAGTTCAAGATATTGTTGTGTATTGTTATAAATGCTTGTTGGGAGTCTATGAAAAATTGTTTAGCTGCCAGTTGAGTCTTAAGACCATTAAACTGTTGTTGCTATGAGTGTTAAAAAGATGAAATTGTTGTTGACATGAGACACCAGAAGGTAAAATATTGTTGGAATGATTTCTATACAGGAAAATATAGTTTAAATGAAAGATAGAGAATAAATTATTGTTGGAATAATTTGCAAAGCACAAAATTATTGTTAAAATGTATCTTGGAATATGAACTTGTTGACATAAGTCTCACGAGATAAATTCAGAGCATGAAATAATACGAGCTACTTCAAGACTGACAAACCTCATACCATTTAACATACAAAACATATACAGTATATACATTCACAAAGTACCACACCATGACATTAATAAACACGAACATACATATGCACACTCGCCTGCACTTATACCTGGTACAGTGGCTGGTGCATTTTGTGAGATGTGGCAACTCTGTGGAATGCTTATCTTCCATCCTTAGTCTGGCTACTATTGTCAGGTTCCTTAGTGCCATTCCGGGAATTGTAATACCATGTAAACAAAAACAGAGTTGCCACATCTCACAAAACACGCCAGACAATGTACTAGGTATAAGTGCAGGCGACTGAACATTATGTTTGTAAAAGCCCATATAAAGGATTTGTTGTGACGAGAAAAAGAGCGATTCTGTTACTTTATATCTTAGTGTTGTATTTCTAATGGTATTCACAAATTTGGTCCATGTTTGAAGAGCAGATCCTAATATTATATATTATCAATACAAACCTTTACATACAGTTTCTTAAAACGTTCTTGAAATGTGATATTGATTTGAGAATTGTGGTAAATGCTATGTATTTTTTTGTTTCAAGTTGTGTGTGTGTGTGTGGGTTAGTTACACACAGTTATGCCTTGTTTATTTAGTCAAGTCCTGCCAGTTTGTTACAGGGTGCAGTAAATTCAGATGTATGTTAAAGAATAAGGGTTAATTTGCAGTACAAGTATTTATCTCTGCAAACTTCATGATCATATAACAGTACTTTGTTATTAAGAGTGAAATTATGTTCTCTCAATCCCTCTAAAAAAAGGTATATTAAACAATAAGAATGTAATGATAAATATCCCCAAAATACATCTTAAAAACATATATTGTATAAGAATATAAGAAATAATGTCCCCCCCCCCAAAAAGCTATATTGTCCAATAATAGCCAAAATTACATGAAAGAAAAAGACCAGTGTATATCCTCCCTCATCATCCAGACAGCAATTGAGAGACCATCAATCATCAACTCTTAGTCGTATCTATACCTCAAGTCTTGTTCTTTGACGCACATCTGAGAAAAAAATCAAAATTTACCAATCAATGTTTGTCTGTACACTTGGCTTTGTACAGAGACAGTTGTGCCATAGTATTTACTGTAAGTTATAATGCTGGTGGGGATGTGTGTACTGTGTTGGTGGTCTGTAGTACGTTTTGACCCAGGTTCATTGAGAAATACGTTACTCTCTCTCTCTCTCTCTCTCTCTCTCTCTCTCTCTCTCTCATTGTTGCATAGGACTCAATCTACACTTTCTCTCTATCGCTCAAACTACATTTTCTTTATCACTGTCACACAAACTTCATTTTCTCTCACTGTTACTCAAACTTTACGTTCTCTGTCACTCAAACTACACTTTCTCTGTCACTCAAACTACACTTTCTCTGTCACTCAAACTATACTTTCTCTCACTCAAACTACACTTTCTCTGTCACTCAAACTACACTTTCTCTGTCACTCAAACTACATTTTCTCTGTCACTCAAACTACACTTTCTCTGTCACTCAAACTACACTTTCTCTCGCACACACTACACTTTTTCTCTCTCACTGTCACACCTCTCTAGGACAGTGACCACCTAATACATTGAACATACTGTACACCAAAAGGAGACTGTGTATAAACCTGTACTGATTGATAACAATGAAGTGTGTTGCTTGTACCCATGATAGCTTTGATGGTTCATATGACGATGAGAACCCCCAGCTTTTTTCACCAGATAATTAACGACCCTAACCTAAATAAACATAACCTTATCTAATCCTAACCTAACCTGATCTAATGTTAGCCTTACCTATTCCTATTCTAACCTAACCCCCCGAGTTAATGTTAGAGTATTTAATCATCAGGTAAAATAAGCTAGGGTGGCACATCTACAGGTGACCCACTTGGATATATTGTATAATGAGTTTGAAAAGCAGAAATATTACCTGACACTTATATATCTACTATAATATATTGTAGTCAGGATTGATTGCCTTAAGCATAATATAATACTGTACAGTTAACCATATAACTTTGTCTGTTGAAGTATTTTATCTCTTTTATTGACTGGTTCATGAAAAAAGGTTTGATAATTCTCTCTCTCTCTCTCTCTCTTGAAGCAATAAACTTTACATAAGGGGTGTGTGTGAGGGCCTTGGTGTGTGAGGGCCTTGGTGTGTGAGGGCCTTTGAACGGTTAAGCCTTGTATCTGATAAAATAAGCTATACTGTATATATTCCTAATTTATGTATACACTATTTGTTACGTTTGGAAATAATTGATTTATGATTATTGTATAATTTATGTTGAGATGATGTGGACAAATGTATATGTTTTGTATTCTGGTGTAAATTTCATCATTGTGGAGTACTGTACGTATGATTGAAGTATAATGCTGAATCATCATCATATCTTCCATTATCATCAGGGCTTTTAATGATCTCGGCTAAATGTGAAGGGATAATTAATTCCTATTTTTAACTAATTCCTTTTACTGTTTTATCACTTATGAAAGATAATTAATTGATATTTTAAACTAGTTCCTATGATTTGTTTAACACTGTCTATGAAGGGAAAATTAATTCCTATATTTGACTTATTCCTATTACTAGTTTATCAAGGCTCTGAAAGCTTAATTAATTCCTATCTTTTCCTTCTTCTATGACTGGTTTATCACTCTTCTTTCCCCAGTCCAGGTCACACAGTAGCCGAGATCATAACAATATTAAAATCAAATTATCTGTCCGCTTGGATTAATTATTACCTGACAACATATGTACTGTACCTTAAAATTTAAATTAATTATATGCACTGTTTTCTTTGTTATATATATATATATATATATATATATATATATATATATATATATATATATATATATATATATATATATATATATATATATATATATATATATATAACAAAATGGTCATCTTTGTATAGTTTTCTGCACTGGTCGAGGGTTTGGGAACCATACTCAGAGGATTTAAAAAATTCTTAATATAAATTCCAATGATTATGACGAAAACAAATTTAAATGACAGCTATGATAAATTTTTTAAGTAAGTGAAAATTTAAAGTTACGATATTATTAAGTTTAAGCTGATAAGTATCTTGTGATCCACTTACATGTTGTTTGTCTTGTAAGCAAGTCTGGTCAACCTGTACTCTGTAACTGACCTGTGGTTAAGTTACAGTTTGTATTTTCTGAACATGTTAGTACAGTATTATTATTATTATTATTATTTTTTTTTTTTACTGTGACTTGATTCTTTGTTTTTGCTCTTTTGCGATTTATTATTAATTACTAGTTTGTTCATATATTCTTATTTGTGATTATTTCTGTGACATTTTTTCTAAAACTGCAATTAATATTTTTATGGCTTAAATTATTTTTTTTTGTTATTATGTTCTAAAGCTATGATTATTATTATGGATATTAAGTAGTGTTCCTTTATTTTTAAACTGTGAGCATTATTGTCAATTGACTAACGTGATTAAATAATAATCTTGATCAGGTACAACTTAATTATAATGGGTATGGCACTCCTTACTCTCAATATTATATGCTTAAGCTTCAGGTAAACCAAAACAGCTTCATGTAAAGAGACACTGAAAGCTTCTTGTAATTGAAGCTTCTAAATAAATTGGCAGTTTAGTGTGGACGATGTGTGACAGGAGTTATTCTTATGTGCAGCCAGCCAGCCATGTGTCAGTAGGCGAGGAACAGTGATTCAGTTTAGTGCATATGACTTGTCACATGCAAACTTGGAGTTGAATGAGTGTCTTAATAGTTTGTCTTGACTGAGTTTCTTGGGGAGTTACATATACAGAACATTGGTATATACTGTATGACATCATTTTGTATTTATTATTGTACGATTCGCCATGTTGCATCTGAGGTTGACTTGCAGGTAGTATTGCAGAGGGTTTTTTTTTTTACAGTTTCTCCTTCAAGTGATCGTGTAACTCTTGATGGAGTATTAATTCTGTTCACAATGTTTAACCTCTTCTTAGGACTCGGTAAACACAAACATGGAGGCACTGTGTAAACGCTGTGTGCACTTGTCTAGAGAAATGTTTGTGTGTTTGTCTCTCCTGGACAAATACCCAGATGTTGTTATTATTATTATTATCTTGCATACACATTGAATACTGAGTGAAGTAATATCGGATATTATACAGTACAGTACAGTACATCAGGTCATGAACTGTAGTGTGCAACTTTTTCTCAATTTTTTATGAAACTTAAATTGATGTATGTATGTACATATATACTGTATACAGGATAATTTTGTTCATGTATACATTGCGTTGTTAAAGATGCCCACAACAATATTTTCATGCATTTGTCATCGTTTTTTATATTATCTTTTATATTATTTCCATGAGAACTCTTCATTTTGATGAAGAGAAACCTATTGTAAAATATTGCAACATCATTTTCTCCATTGTCATTTACCATCAAATATATTTCATCATTGTCTTGACAGTTTATATGTCAGGATCTTCGGGTGTCATAAGTCTAACTTGTAATGCTTTTAACAGCAACATCACCCACCACCCACCTCTGCTTCTCATGTTGACCACACCACCACCTGGCCCTCAGCCTCAGAGATCCTTGAAGGTTGTCCTCTAACTGGAGATAAGAACGCCCATCTACTAAGTGTAGAATTTCAATGCAATTTCAATGCCACAATGGACATTATTTTTGTGCTGTACCTTAAGGGAACCTGATAGATGAATTCTTACATCTTTTGTTATTAGGTCAGTTTGACGTAAAAATCTCTGAGAATCCGGGACCTGGCACGTAATGGCAGTTTTACTGTAGGCTATATTGACTATCAACACAGAGGAGGACTATAGGGAGTGTTGTGTGAAGGCCTGATGAATGAAGGAGTTATTGAGATGGGTCTTTTTCACGGATAGTTTTTGTGAATGAATATTATACTCCAGAGATCATATTGTTTAGGAAATATGAGCCTTTGAGTATAAGTCCTGCCCTCTGTTGATAGTCGCTGCCGTGTTTACCCGGTTGAGTGCCTCATCGTGTACTCCCCCTCACCCACCAATTGTAAACTCTGCCAGAGCTTAATCAGACAACAATTGACAAAAAAATACACTTTGTGGAATATCGGAAAGGGTGTATGTGTGTTTCCTCTACTGCAGTTTCCTTGTTTTTTATTTATTTTTTTCCTTCAAGGATTGCTGATTTACGTAGTCACCCAAAAAAATCCTGTCGCAAACCACGAACCCCGAGATTCAGACTCGTGAACCCGAAGCAGTAGACACTGATACATTATTCTGTCCATAAATGCTTTGGATTCAAGAGTCTGAATCTCAGGGTTCATGGTTCGCGACAGGACTTTTTTTGGGTGACTGTACATGTGTGTGTGTGTGAAGTGTGTAATCTTGAGGTATATAGAAAATGACACAACCAGATGGTGTTTATTTTGATGTTTTTTTCTAAAATAATTTTCCAAAATAACGTATATAAGCATTAAGAAAAAGCTTCTGTGGTTTAATGAGGATAATATTTACTCATACAAAGGTTAATAATTCACCAAATAGTGGGAAAGAGTTTATTTAGCGGCAACTTAACGCAGGAGTGAGTATGAAGTGTATCGAGATAACCCTCACTATACAGACACACCACCTAGGGCTTTAGCATGGCACGGCACAACAGCTGCTCATCACTGTTGCTTCAGGATCCATAACAACAAAACACTACTTGTTAGTTTGGACCTTCATTCTTACTGAAAAATTAATGACGTTTGATTGTAAATACAAATTTTGGGGGTCACGTGAGGTTTAGGCACCCCAGCTTATTTTACCTGAAGGTTAGCTGCCCTAATGGTAACTTAACCTGACTGAACTTAACTAACCTGACTTCACCTAAATTAAACTAACCTAACCTAATCTAAGCCCCCAGGAAGCATTAAGGTGGTTAATCTTCAGGTGAAATAAACTGGGGGAGCCTAATCTTCAGGTGATCCAATTCTTGTTGGGCCTATACAAAAATCTCACTATGAAGTCAAGTTTAGATGTTCATGTTTCTCAATAAGTAATAACTAATAACCAAAAATCAAAAATACCAAAAGGAACTCCCCCCCTATTATAATCATGTCATACTGTGTTAACTTCTCATGCCAGTATACAAGGTCATGTTAGTCATGTTATTACAGGTCATAGGTCATGAAGTTTTGATTGATTGAACTAGAGACTTGTTATGATACCCACGTTACACACAGCTGATCAAAACTTGTAAGTAGAAATATATAAATGCTGACTTTTCTAGGACGATTTCTTGTTGTCGTCTTTATGATGGCTTGAAGTTGACCTATTTTGTTGTCTCATAAACAGCTTCAAGGTATTTACTGATGTGTGAAGAAGTTGACTTAGATTCTCAAAGTTCCTGTGCTATTATTTATACTCTTGTATGTTGGGTATGAACTAACACATCTTGTTGCGGTTGGATCTCAGTGAATCTCGACACCGTATTTCTTGTAGCTTAAGTGAGCCAGCCAGGTGTGGCCTCATAGCTCAGTTTAGTGGGAATAAATAATCGTAGGGGCGTTTGAGAATCTGAGCGGTCATCTTTAACCTAACTCTCCCAATACTGTAATTTTACGAACAGTTAGGTGTCTGCGTCCTGCTGCAGAGAACGCTAGGCTGCTGTCCTCCATTATACTTGAACAGGTGTCACTAGCTGTTGTCTGATCCTACAGGAACACCACCAAGCGCTTGATAGATTATAGCAAGTCTAGCGGAAGCCAAGCAGTTTTGGGAAGACTAGAATAATGGTAGTTATGTTATAATGGAGCTGTCTAAGGTCAAACAGTCATTGCTTTTGGGAAGATGCACGTTATTTAGCCTAGCAAATGTGTACAACCAGATTTGTTTGTAAAAAATAAATAAAGGAAGGATAGGAGTTTACAGTAAACTATTAACAGCAGCTTCGTTCGTTTATTTAGTCATTGCATTGCTGTAAGTTTTGACACGAACGTCCAGTGCGTGTCTGACTTAGATCTCTCATTCAGCTGAAGTAAGCGAACTGACTGGCAGCATGAAGATTATTAGTATCATAACTGTGTGTGTACCGTACTGTATGGTGCTGTAGGTTTTTGGCTCTCGTCACCACATTTAGCTAGCAAAGTGATGTAATAACTGTGTCATCTAGCCAAGTAGGCAAAAGAATCGGGTAGACTTACACTGACAAAAAAGTACAAGGTTGTGTATTGACAAATCAATTTTCTGCTGCGAGAGAGGATTGACAAATCGAAGGGCTGACAAATTACTCGACTGACGCCATGCAGTAGAACCCATTGTCTCATCATTCCCGAGGAAAATGGTAGGTCAATAAACACCTGCAAGTTATAGGCTCACAGGCAGATGTTTGTACGCTGACGCACCACTTAGTTATCCAGACTTTGCGTTGCAGATCTGGGATATTTGGCTCATTTTCTGCAGGTCAACGATGAATAATATTTCCTTTGAAATGTTGAGGAACATTTCCTACACCTTAGAAGGATGAATCACACTAAAATCAAAGTCATGTTTAAGGTACAGATGGCAGTTTTGTATGTAAGCGATCCCACACACCTGCCTCTCGGACGACCAACTGTGTCGTATACCTAAAACGACAACGTTCCTTCACTCGTTATTTTCAGTGTGGTTATTTTGATAGATTTATCTCAATTATTTTAATGTGTAGTTAAGGAACGTGTGTCTTCTTATCTCAACCCTGTCTCGTTTATTTCGAGAAGTGTGTCTTGAGTTGGAGATGTGTCAAAGGCGAGACAAGCATGTGTGAGTGTGCGTTGACCAGCCTTCTTGACGTCACGCTGCAGTTGCAGGTAAGACTGTGGCTTAATGACTTCATAACACATGTGTAAACGAATGTCATAATCCCATGTTGTATCTTGTCATTATCTGTCAGTTGTAACATCCTCACACATACGAGTTTCACCGTCCATGCGACACACCGTTATCAACTAACGTTGGTGGCATATCAAAGAGAGATGTCAATTAGATTTTTTCTTCAGTAGAATGTCTTGAGTGTGACGTCATAACCATCTCATTTTCATTGTAGATGAAAAACCTATGCTTAATATTCAATCGTTGATGACTAATGTAATATTTAACGAATGTAGAATATTGTACTGTACGCGCTTAATAAAAGACCTTAGTTGTTGAAGCGCAGTAACTTCAACATCACTTATAACTTATTGTGTGTGTTTGAGGAGAACCAACACAGTGACCCTCGGGTTACTAGCCGTACTTGAGGTGGTGATTGCGGTTGATTCAAATAATTTTCTGGACAGTTCATAATGTTTGATTCCATGGGCGAAACTGTATTGGTTTGTTAAGTATGGATTTGTCAGTAGATATTTCATGTTCTTTGCGACCTTATCTTATTCTTACAAAAACATTCACATCACATCAAATGTATACAGGCATATATATATGATACACATATACGTATTATACATATATGCTTATATACGCTGAACGCTGGATTCCACAGTTCAG